TTGATAAGCTGTGACCTGAAATTAATTTTTAACCAATTAATAAGATATATGTGACCAAATTGCACAATTAAATATTTTATTAATTAATAAAAAATAAAAACCTGATTTTTGCAATTTTAAAACTTTAGACCTGATTTTTGCAAATGTCAAAGTTAATACCTGATTCATGAATTTTTCCTATAATTTTAGTTATTTCTATTAGATTTTTCACATGCGTTTATTTGTATTATGATTTTAATGCTTTTAATTAATTGGTCAGTAATTGAATGATTTGATACTAGTCAATTTCAACACTCAAGAAGGGGTGGGGTGGGGGGTTTCATGGGTGATCATAAGAATAATACAACCTAGAAATTTATAGGTTTCGAGAGAAAATATAATTCTTTTGAAGCATGTTCCATTTAAGAATCACTAAGTTTATAAATTTTATATTTTAATTCGGAATAGTGTTATTGGAACTGAAATATTGGAATAGATTTTACTCGGCACTCGAGAGAGAGAGTAAAATTAAATTAGTGTTCTTACTTGTAAATTTTGGAAAATTGATTAGAAATAATTATATAATAGAGAATCATATTTGATAATTAGGTAAAATCATAACACTAAGCTTTTTCACTTGATTATTCTTCTAACTTGCATTTATTTGTTGAATTTGTCGTCTTATTAGTTTAAAAATATTGATTATAGCATTCATTCATCTAAATAAAATAGAGGCTATATAATTACAATACTTAGTAGATATTTGAATTACTATCCCTGTGGGTTCGACACTGTAACTCCATTATTAGATTACAAAATTTGACACTGTACATTGCGGTATAAATCATTTATAGTTTTCATGTGTATTTGGTTCATCGTCAAATACAACTCTAATGAATTCAGTCTCTACATATATAATTCGGTCCACACTTTATGTAGATACCCTAAACCCAACAATTTAATTCTTTATTAGATCACTTTAATTGGGCTCAACTTTAAGATGGTCTTATACACAATTAATTATATATGTAGGTCCACATGACAAATTAATAAATCCAACAAAACGATGACTTAAATAGTACAGTTGAGTCGTTGACACCACATTAACAATTTATTTAATAATTTTGTGAGAACGCATGTTTGTTGCTTCATCTTTATATTATTTCAATACAATATTGACTTGTTTGATAAGATAAATTGTACACAATCGAACAATATACGACATACCAAACATGCCTTTTCGATATTTGTTAGATGCTTGTCGTGTGATACTATGAAAAATAGATAATGAGAGAGAAATATAATGTGAACTTGTTATAAATTTCATAAGTAATACAATGATTGAAATTTCAATCGCATACGTTAATACTATACAATTTATATAATATTATAAATAACTTTTAAAGCGCTATCTCTATCTCGACTAATTTTTACCATATAACGATATGATTCTTTTTCTTGTGAACGAAGGGACGGCACCTATTCCCTCAATATCAAAATCAACGTCCACTCTGTACACGGAGAAGATTAGAACACGTAGGCCCAATTGTAGGAGAAATAAACTTAGAATACTACTTCCTTTACATAAAGTCCGTCTACTATTAAGAAGATTAATTTGTTTTTAGTTTTTATAAATTAATGAAAATCCGGAAATTTAATATTTAAAATATAGATCCTCAATAGAAAATTGAGAATAACAGCTCAAACCTTTTTCTCTTTTTAAAGAAGAAAGATAAGTTAAAATCTTGTTTGTCGTTCCTTTTTTTATCATGTTTAATATATTAACAGATTATTAATTCAAATTTCAGTATAAATATAATGTAATGAACCTCGTGTTAACCCTAAAAACAGAATATATTCAACGAAAAAGATCATTTGTACTTTTTTAAGCACAAGCAAAAGTGCTCTTTGCTTTCTAATCGCATTTTTCAGTGGACAGTATATCGAACAAACAAAGTCTCTTTAGCCAAAATATTACATATTAAATAATTTTATTAATTACATTAAGAAAAAACAGAACAAGTAATTTAAATTGCAGAAAAAAAAATCGAATAGGGCCAATTTTTGGTCAATTCATGTACGCATGTCGCGCTTGCATACAAATTCAAGGTTCGAAATCTATTTTGGTCTGTAATTTGCACCACATTCTGCGTGCGCGTGAAGAAAGCCTCTATGGTACGTGTGATTACACCATTCTAAAATTTGGAGCAGAAATTTGTGCGCCAAATTTCTTATATCTCAAGAAAGGAGCAAATGATTTATGGACAAACTTCACTCAAAATGGTTCGTCGAGGTGGCTACATTTTCATAAGAAGAAGCTTTAAAAAAGGTAAAAGGGAGAATATTTTGTTGAAAACAAATCTCGAAAAGTGCCTTTGTAGTTTATAAACTAGCTATAAGGAACATGAACATCTCAATTTTTTTGGGATACTACTAATCTTCGTAATTTACTGTTTATAATAATGTCATTATTTCTATTTCCATGGTTATTTGTTATTCTACAAATTATTCTGCCACGAATCTTCCTCCTGTGAAGGCACATTCGATTTTAGGTTATTTTTTGTTGTGTGGCTCCTCGTCCGAATCTACTGTGTAAAACTGGCAACGCATGCGCCGTGTTATCTTCATCGTAATTGTTTGTTGTGTGGCTCCTCGGCCGAATCTACTGTGTATATCTGGCAATGCATGCGCCGTGGTATCTTCATCGTCGAGTTTTTGCTCAAATACGTCGTTAAGAGCGCACTATTAAGAAACGATATCTTTTTACTTATTTTTCTCCTTTAATTTTGTCCAATAAAATTAATTCTAACGTATTAAAACAGGTCATAGATGTCTTGTGGATCAAAACATTAGACTATACATCTTCCTCAAACATCCTGTGTGTGAGAGCCAGAGAGAAAAAAAATTGATCATACCATACAAGACTTCTGAGCATCAAACATAAAAAGTAAAAATTGCAATGGATGTCTACTCAAGTTGGTTTCTGGGTTTTAACAGTGTTTATCCCATAAAGTCGGTCATTTTAATGTTGGAAGGTAAGAAGTAATTAAGATGCTTGAATGGTTTGGTGTGTTATTAACTACATAGGCTACCTTATATACGTGTTATTCCATGGCACGAATCGTGTACTTGTCATGGACCACACAATGTCCCGATCCTTCTAACAGGCAACGTACGACTATTAAATATAATCGAACACATCGATGTATTAAGTCTTGTTTAATATTTGTGATTCGTGTCTACACTCCCATCTTCGACACGCTGGCCTTCACTGCTTTAATTATTGGGTACAACGACATTGGATTGCACGCAGAAGAACTTCTAAGTTGAAAGACTAAGACTGGACGACAACTCTCTCTCCTATTCAATTTCTTAATTTAATCCCTACACTTTCACAAGTAATTGAATCTTGTTTTCGTGTCTATCTTGTCGAAAGGAGTAGTCGATGGATAACATGTGAATATTCATGTACCCTTGATGGCCTAGATGGACGGAAGGGTTTAGGTTAGCCGAAATTGGTTATTGATTCAACAACATAAGGTGCCCCTACTTTTTAGGGCAAGAAAGGTCAGAAAAAATGCCTTGAACCAATGTTCGAACAACAAGCCTAACGTTCAAGGTACTTTGAACATATGGCATTCTTTATTTGCTATTTAAATAGAATTAAATAATATAACAATTAAAATTTTAGTAGGTAAAAAATAGTTAATTTTTTTTTTTCAAACAAATGCATGTTTGATACATGGTATGCAGCAAAAAATATAGTTAAGATTGTCCATGAAGTTATAACATTTTCTACCACATATAAGCCACCGAAAGTGTTTGCTAGGCATACGGACCATGGCCCGAGTTCTTGTTGATTGACTCAGTCTCCCATCGTTCAATCCGAACCTCCCTTCTGCAATTAATGCGGAGCAGAGTGAAATAAAAGCAGGGAGTTGCATAGAACTGCATAAAAACTTCCAGGCAATAGAAAGTTAAGAGAAAAAATGGTGGGACCAAAGAGGCCACTGTTTGTGTTGTTTGGATCGTCCATAGTTCAGCTCAGTTTCAGCAATGGCGGATGGGGTGCCATACTTTCCGATATCTACGCTCGTAAAGTAAACTCTCTCTCTCTCTCTCTATTTCTTTCTCTTGCACACACACACACACGAGATCGCACAAAATCGCAATTCTTTTTCTTACCTTGGAATCAGCGATGATTATTTTGTGCATTTAAACTTGAATTCATATTTCGTTTCTTTGAACGTATTTGTGATTATTTGAGACAAAGATTTGATCAGATGGTATATGTACTGTTAGTTGTTTGATTAGTGCGTGCCGGGTATTTGTTTATTCGTCTCACTTATTACGGCGGGCTGAAGCAGATTGGTTAGGTCTCTCTCTCTTGTTACATAAAGAATAAGGGATCTTGATGGCCTGGCCATTTTATTTTATGTATTTGCAACTCTATGAGAATGTTGATCAATTTTTTAATGATTAACATTCTTGCATATCTTTAAAAAATTATATTTTAACCTAGCCATATTCTGTATCAGCAATCTTCCTGGCATCCCTTCATGTTTTATCTAGGTTTATTAGAGGGATACTTTTATTTATTTATTTAAATTTAGTTTTCAACACACGCTTTCATGTGGCGACCAAACTTGAACCCAGGTCATTAGAGCCAATATAGGTCCTGGGTTCAAGTTTAACAATGGTAGATAGTGCATAGATAATTGAAACCTAAAAGCTCCTATGACAGAACTTTTCTTTGACAAGGCGTGTAATGGTTTGGGATTCTGATGCTCGGACTCTTCGAAATAGTTGGAGTACTCGTGTCGGATACGACACGACATGGGTATGGGTATGAGATATGTATCGGATTCTCTAAGTTTCAACCGGACACTTCGTCGTTTTTGCTTCTTTTTTTTTTCTTTTCTTTCCCACTTTTGCTCTCTATAAACCTAGCGTGGTCAATCAAAGGGGTGGAGAAAGATGGCGACACTAGGTTTTCCCTTCTTTTTCTTCTTTTTTTTTCTTTCTTTCCATTTTCTTCAAATATGAAAATGGATTCCATATAGAGCTATTGAGTGCTCCACTGAGTTCAAATTACAATCGAGCTCCTCATTTTTTATTTTATATAATATTTAGTAATTTTTATTGTTGTAAACTAAACTCCAAAAATTTGTCTTAACCCCTTATTATTCATTGTAAACAATTAATTTTGGTCAATTCAATGACATCCTGGATTAGTAAAAAAATTGAAGTTTGAAAGATGTATTTACGTACCCGTGTCCGAAATTTGGACTCTTTTTAGCCATATCCTCGTATCCTATATTTTAGAAAATAAAAGATCCGATACATAGATACGTACCCGTACCCGAGTCCGAGCACCGGACCATGTCCTGATGTCCATCTTATGTCATGAACTCTGTCTACTGTCTACTAAGCCCCTGTTTGTCTACCATTTTTCAAAACATTGTTTTTTACAGTAATCAATCTTCACCACACATTCAAATAATAAAATATTCTACACATAAACCAATAAAATTTCTTTCAATTTTAACCACAAATTCTTCAAAAAATACTATTCAAAACATCATTCTTTCTCCCATAATGGGAGACAAACAAGCAGTAAATCTTGTCCATGTTGCTAATGTCTGTCTCTGTTACCTGGGTCATGAGGCTTGTTATGGAAGAATCGTGGAGCTAAAATTTCATGATAGAAAAAGTTTCATTTAAACCAAACTATTGCTGGAACATGTATAACTTAGCCTAATAATGAAAGCTAATTATTTTCTTATTTCATTTCTGCGCAGTTGATGTCCTTTGTGTGCTCAATCTTGAACTGTTTGTTTCATGCATATAGTTCAGTCAAGAATTTCTGTGAATAGGTGCAAATAGGCTTCTTGCGTATTTAACTTAATTACATCACAGCAGCGGACTTGGACCCAAAAGTTTCAGATTCCCACATATTTTAAGATGTAGAATAACAGAGCAGTTTTAACTTATTTTTATGCACCATTAGCTTCTCCATTTACCCCTTGTAGGCTGATGTAATCTCACGAGGCTACTATGGTTGGAATTCACGACGAGCCATCCAGGTCCTCGATCAAGTTTTTCCGAAGGTACTTCACAGCGTGCTACCAATAACTGCTTTTAAAGTTCAAATGATATGAATTGAAAAACGCATTTAACAAATTTAGCATCAATCATATTTGTTGGTTTATCTGTGGAAACTCACTGAAATATAAAATACGGTAAACTGATTTATGCATTAGTTTTTGACAAATGCTCTCGTAGTGAATGTTCAAAGATATTCAACAGAGTAACAGATTATGAAGATTTCCCTGAGAACGAAACATGTATTATGAAACTGATTAATTTGGTAAAATCACGATGATATCAGATATCTTTATGACCACTGGCTGTGCTCTGATGCTGAACACGGCGTTTCTCTTTCTCAGGATGCTGCTATTCAGCCGTCACTGGTGATAGTATATTTTGGCGGTAATGATTCTATGGGACCTCACTCATCTGGACTTGGTCCTCACGTTCCACTTCCAGAGTATATTGAAAACATGAAAAAAATAGCAATCCATCTCAAGGTAAAGTGTTTGTCTCTATTATTGCGTAAAACTTGTTCAGTTTAGGTAATTTTCATCAAGTCAAATTCTTTTTGGACATGTGAGATGTTTTAGGTGATTGTGCGTTGAATCACCTCGTCTAAAAGTTCAAGTTCTTAAAGATGAGACGTTTTGTTTGAAATCGAGGATAATATAACAAATGCTTAAAATCATCTATTAATTTCTTCTCTGGTAGACGTCCTCAGAAAGAAAATGTTTAGGCTGGTCTGCGTTTTCCCTCTCCAATTCTAAAACTGTATCTGAATTTCAGAGCCTTTCGGATACAATTCGCATAATCTTTCTGAGTTGTCCACCCGTCAATGAGGCTAAACTTCTTGAAACCAGAAGGTACTTTTTCGGCTGCTTACTACTACCTGTCATTTCCTTTATTGTTGCATCACAATATCCTTTGTTTCCAAAACAGTTCATACCTCAGCGAGCTAGTTCGAACAAATGAATTATGCCGGAATTATTCAGAAGCTTGTATAGAGTTGTGCGAGGAGATGCATATAAAGGTTGTCGATCTGTGGACTGCGATTCAGAAACGAGAAGATTGGTTGACTGCGTGCTTTTCGTAAGTACAATACCTTGTGTTAAATTTAACTCAACTCTCCAGACTTGGTCAGAATTTCTGTTCATGAAACTATTAAATAATCAAACAAACTTGCCAAGAAGACTTGATTAAGCTTAAGCCAGAAAGAAAAGCTTGAGATCCTAGTCATTATTTTTCCTTCTCTTCTTCTTCAGCGATGGAGTTCACTTGTCTGCCGAGGGAAGTAAGATAGTCGTGGAAGAAATACTCAAGGTGCTGAAGGAAGCTGAATGGGAACCATCATTCCATTGGAAATCCATGCCCACGGAATTTGCAGAGGATTCTCCATATGATCTAGTTGCTTCTGATGGAAAAACCACCTTAAATCCATCTGAATGGACCTTTCATAGAGAAATTCAATGGGACTGACTAGGTTAGGTTGTCTAATTCCTTCAAGTCTATGATGTTTCATGTCTAAAATGCTATAGTCAGAGAATTATATGGAACTGCACTGGCTTCATTTTATCTACGAATCACCATGTATTGGCTCTCATTAGACGTAAACAAATTCAAATCGCATAAGAATGTCGTTGTGAATGAAGTGCAACTGCTCGATTCCTAGTTGATACTAATCCATATGAAGAACTACACAAACATTATTATCACACACAAGTACCCATATAAAATTAGTCTGAAAGATGGATCTAACAAAGAACTACACAACATGATGATCGTGTATATATGCACATTATTAATTTATCTCACACAAGAATCCATATAAAATTAGTCTTAAAAACGGATCAAACAAATTCAAATCGCATAAGAAGCTTCACTGACTCGTACTTTTCCCCCTTCCGAGAATGAAGTGGAACCGCTCGAATACCTTTTCTCAGTTCCGAAACCGGTAGGCACGTTTGCCCGGCAAAATCATCCTTCTCGGACATGTCGTACTCATGAACTTCAATCCGGAGCATTGCTAGTTCAGGAACAGTTAATGGGAACTCAAACGTCTCGTCCCAATTTGGTATCCAATTATCCTCGAGTACCTTTGTTTTTTTCATGATAGTATCAACAGGCACTCCAGCAATTCCTACCTGTGCAAAGAAAAAATCGAGCCACTCAGTAACCTACAACATGCTTGTATAGTAGCATACTAGCATCGCAGGTTCGAAAATAAACTAACTGAAGTTTGATTCTGACTACTGGGATGTGTCGTTCATATGAAGGCTAGAAACGTTAATTTTGTTCTTTTCCGGTACTTTTTATTTTTAGGCCCCATGCATGGGTCATGAGATAATTTAGCAAGTGCACGCTAATATTGACAAAGAACTATTAGATTTATTACAATTCGTGAGTTATTTTGGAAGACCTTTTAGCAAACTATAATCATTTGGAGCATTAATGAATTGGAAGTTTGGAACAGAAAGAACAATAAGATGATTAACCATATTCTTTACCTTAGTATAAAAATCTGGAGGAGAGTATGTATCGAAGTGTGTATGACGGAAGTCATAATGCCATCCTTCACCCATATACACAGTCACCTGTTCAATAGCAAGGGAAATTTGATCAGGTCAAACAATGAAGCGAACTGAGGAAATGAGCACAGTCAACGTAAAGGCAACTTCATAATAATGTCTTTAGTGAATACTGAATGTTAACGGCTCAGTGAATCCTCGACTTACCCTCAAAGTAGTTAAGACAGGGAATTTGACTTTAGGATCAAAGACCTCATTACGAGGACCAGCCTTCAACAAAAATTCAGGCTTTTTAACATATCCACAACTGCCATTAGCCCGAAACATTCCGTGCATCAACCAAAGTGATCTTCCGTAACCCTGATCCAGAAACTTTTACTTTATGCATTTTTCATGTGAATTATGATGTCTAATCTCTTACCACATAAAAGAAATGATAGGATAAACATGCCATCCAATAGAGCATGACGTGATGATTGAGTCAAATCGTCTAGTGATTGCTTTAAGCAATTCTAAATAACATAACACTTTAGGTGCTTTACAGTTTAATGAAATACGTTCTCTTCACAATATTGTCATGTTTTCTTACTTTACAACCCACAAATCCTAAAGGCAATATCTTAAAGCTCATATTGCAATTTGGCATGCAGAATTGGATAGGATAGTACATGAATAACATTTAACTTCTTTTTTTTCTTCAGTACTGTCCAAGACCATCTATCCTCCATTCTAAAACATGCTAGTGATGCATAACAAAATCACTCTCATTTCTTCAAACAATAATATGTAAACACGGTACATCGGAGGATTTACATTTTGATGAAAAGTGGTTTCTTGCTTAAGTGTCAAACTTCTTGCTTTCTAACAGCAATAGAGACAGATCGTGTTTATGGTAGCTTATGCTAATAAATAAGCTCCAGCTATGGGGCTTATTTTGGCTTATCTTAAGTGGGTCCACATCTTATTTTTTTTAAAAAGCTACACATTTGGATCTTGTTTTTAAAATAAGCCAACCCAAACATGCTCAAAGACTGCATGCTTGTAGCATCTAACGAAAGACACTTCCTAAGTCCATGAGCATAAAAGAGCAAGTAGAGTTTGGTCTTTGCAAAACTGGTGTTTAGTTAGATAGAAAAAATATTAAAGTAGATCAATTGATAAAGAAAATAAGAACTCAGTATCCATTTCGTTACAAAGCAAAAAAAGCACGAAAAAATGTGATTTAACACTCTCAAGTCTTGTTGAAACTGCAAAATTTGCCTTGGAAAATTACGTTGACAAGTGACAGGTAATGTAGTTAATAAGATCCTCTGATACGACACTTAAATTTGAGAAAATGGCATATCTCACACTATCATAGAGACGTAAGTTAGAAACCTCAAATTATTTGATAAAAAATTGTTTTTTCTCCAAACTGTGACAGATGTAGTTAAAAAAGTTTAAGAATTTATTTATACGTTACAAAAGAACAAAGCATATTACCATTTGATCAATCTCTGACATATGAGGTTGAGCATTTTGTATTTGAAATACGAAATAATGAGTTTTCACTTGTCCGAGTCAACATTATATACCAATTAAGGCAAAACTCTCTCACACAGCCCTGTTTTAGTTTATATATTCTTCTACTTCATATTATCCTAAAGTAGTTTTCTTCAGTATTTGTAAAGGTTTGTTGCACAGCAACTACATGAAAGTAATAAATTGAGAAAATTCAAGCAAAAATAAAAAAGCCTATAACCTCAAGAAGTCAATATAACCTGCATATTAAAGGCAACCATCTGAGCTCCATGCATCCACCCAACTAGGGGATTGTAATTGGAAGAGTTGACGCGTGTACCTTTTGGGTATACTCTCAATATGTTCCGTTGAGTAAACCTAAATCAAAGAAATATGATAACATTAAAGTTCAAAATATTTTAAGACAGCCTACAGACAAGAAATCCACAGGATAAAAATAAGTTTGATTAAATTGATAACTATTGGTATTTCATACCTCGAGCATATCTTCTCTCTCTCCTAATATTACTCTAAATTGGAAATTGATAGCTATAGATGTGGTCAGGAATATAGATGCTTCAAACATGGATTAGCTAATACCTGACAATATCTTTTCCATGATTATTTACAGCCTTTTCGAGCTCTTGCTCGCTTAAGCTAAGACGTCTAACTTTATCTGGATCAACCCTCAGCCAGTCACTTATTGAACCCTTTCCCTTTCCAGCATGAATAGCAATCAGGCGCTTGTATTCCGGTGCCTCATTCTGGTGCAACTTACAATCATCTTCATCATTGTTGTCACCCTCTCTTTCGTCCAAATCATCATCCTATAAAAGAATGCCCTATTATTGAAGAGAATGTAGGTGGTCTTGACGGTGAAATAGTTAAGTAATGCACCTTCTCATCATCGTTTTTTGCTTTGAAAGTAACTTCTATCCCCCAAGCTTCATCATCGCCTGAATCCTTACCCTTCTTTGACTCGCTCTCTCTTAACTTAACTTCTTTTGCCTCCAAGTATTCTTTTGGGGGCTTAGTGGATATAATAATCTTTTTCTTTAGTGATTCTGGAGAGGGGAACTCCCTCAAGCAATCAGAACCGGGGGAAAACAGCATGTCTCCAAATGTTTGAGTGATCATCTAGAGTTTAGTTGGAAAAGTGAATTACAAAGTCATGAGAATGTTTAATATTCCCAATAAAAAATTTATACATACCTCGGCCACTTTAGCCTGAAGATCAGGAGTAAGATGATCTTCAAGTGTTATTACAACAGGGTATTCAGATGCAGAAAAAGCATGCTCCTTAATTGATCTCAAACATTTGATGAGTTCCACAGGAGTGGTGAGCGTCCTACAGAAGGTAATAATTGGAAAGGAAAGATACATGTTCTTCAGGCACGGGATTGAAATAAGAGAGTCAATAGAGGAACCTTAATACCAAAAACACATCCCCCCCGCCCCCACCATCACATCCTTCTCTCTCCCTTCAATTCATTGATAAAAGGTTATAAACATAAGAGAGATGCGCACATTTAACATTATGTCTTCTGGTAGAAAGTGTCAGGGACAGAACGTGATAGTGATTTAATGGACATTCTCTATTGGAACATATAAAAATTTAATTCTGCAATCTCTTCAATTAGCTCCTCAAAGATCTGATCCATCTAACTTATCATAAAAAGATTCTTAGAAGCCATGAATGCAATGTTTTCTTTATTAACTCACCAGACAGTGGATAATTGTTACTGCATTCTCTTTATCTTAATCTACTTATGAATAATTGGTCATTGTTAAATTACAGTACATTGAGGGTGCTGATAGGTATCCCAGTTTGTAAACTTGAGCATCTTTTACATTGCCTATACGCTTGACTAGTCACTGTACACTTTAAGGTCAACATTGTACAAAGCTTAGTTATAATTAACCTTGTGTTAACATAGGCTTCAATTTATTAAGCAGGTAGCCTATTAGCATCCACATTAAAAAATTGTTTCCAATAGCATACCTCCCATGCAGAACATTGACATTATCTTTTCTGGAATTTGGCCATATATCCAATTCAATTACTCTTACACCTCTCTGAAGAGCACGTATGATTGGGACGTCACTACAATCACTACTTAGTTGATTTCCGGTTAAATAAGAATTGTGGCCAGTAAATATAAAATAGTGAGACAGTGGAGCAGTCATGTCATGATGAACCTGAAAACGAAAAATCATCAACTAATTAGTAAAAACAAGAGCATCAAGTGTTCCTGCAAGATTCAGCAGTTATATTACACAACCAAAGTCATAAGGTTTTGTTAAACCTTCAAGTTGTACCATCACCCACTAATAAATTATTGTGCATGTATCAGCCATTTGATGAAAATAATGAATTTGGCCATCAAATGAGGAGGTGTGTTGCAAACATAATCTAAATAGACGAGTTTGTTCTCTCTCTAAAAGTTTAAGGTTTTGGATGAGGTTGTTCAAAAGGTTTAGAAAGTGTTTAAAGCAATTAAACAGCATCTTCCCAACATCATTTTTTAACTCCAAGAAAAATGTCCACAGATGAAACTCTAACGACAACTACCTTCAAAAAAAAAAAAAATCTGTAAAAATGAGGGGCAAATTTGTGCTTTAAGTAATGCAAATATTTGTTGAAGACAAGTGCCCCTACTTACAGACCACATTCTTTTCCTTTTTCCTGAAACTGCAAATATCATTCAAGCTAATGATACAATAACGTGTTATCAACTGGTGCAATAGGAGACCGGCTGTTACTCTTGGTTCAAACAGCCAAGGCTTTTTACTTTGTCCTTTGCATAGTTAGCAGAAATATTCAAAGAAAACAATGAGCAGTAATTGTGAAAGGTTTAAATGTAGCACAAGGTTCTGTTGCGTCTTTTTAACTAAAGGCCTGCGATTTGAATAATCTAGTTTTTTATCATGCATTTTCTTGATTGCTTTGCCATAAACTTAATCGACTTCCGTCGATTGATTTTCATCTTCTTCTCAATATTCTTTAATTTATAAATAAAAGATGGATTTACAATTTCAACAATCCTGATTACTTATGCAATACAACATTTGGTGAAACATATAGCCAACAAGAGCAGCAATTCGCTGCATGTAATAAACAGGGGATTAGCATCTGAAAACATAGGGCAGATAATAAATATATACATGCTGAAAATCATTTTCAACTGGTTGTGAATTCAATTGCAAGATAATTTGCACCTACTGTAAGTGAAACTTACATAAAATCGTCCAACTGCCGGTTGCACTAAAACACATTTCTTTCTCATTGCAAATTGAATAAGAAACTAATTGCGCATTTGGTAAAAAGATCGAATAGTACTGGACCCTATTAATAAAGAAAACTAAGGAAAAATCTCCTATTCAGTCTCATGCAGCAAACATGTACAGGGTACCTATGCAGAGGATCGGGTTGTGAGAATGTTGGGGGTAGGATTTTTATCTGGGCTTCAATGGATTATCTCAAGTAAATGCATATTTATAGATTGCTAGTTAAATATACGTCACGTGGAATTTGAAATACATCCTTTTTCTCTAAATTCAGAAACAACAAGAAAGCACTTAGGCCCCGTTTGATTGGCTTCTTTTTCCATGGAACTAGGAAATTTTTTTCCGTTTTCCATCTTTTGCGCTGTTTGATAGCCTAAATTTTCCACGGAAAATATTTTCCTCCCCAACTCGCGACGTCAGCATTTTCCATGTTTTTGAGGTGGGAAATTTTTTTCCAACCGGCTGCTAAAATTTTTTTTTTTTTTTGGCAATGGAAACAAATATCATAACCAATTGTAAAAAAAATTTCACTTTAATGGACAATTTCCATGTAAAACCAAGTCAAACGAATACTAANGGACAATTTCCATATAAAACAAAGCCAAACGAATAGAAAATTTAAAAATTTTCCGGGTGGAAAATTATACCAATCAAACACACTTGAAATCAATTTCTCTGCAAAACATTTTCTAGGCAAAACTTTTCCTGTAAAACATTTTCTTTCCACCCATTTTCCACCCTTGCAATCAAACGCACCCTTAATTTTTTGGCTCCTCTTTGTTAGTATCGTCGGAAATGCTCAAACATACCTTAAAAAAAAAACACGATTCTGCACTTGGTAATAATCGAAAAGAGAGACCAACTTACTGTACTCTTGCGTGTGGTACAGCAAAATGAGTAACTTAAAATAAGTCTAATTTATATTAAGCACACAAGTTAACACATGTGACATCAAAAACAACCAAATCAAACCAAAATTCAACATTAAGATAAATAAGAATCTTAATCTTACCCCAAGTTTCGGATTAAGCGGGGGATTAACATCCCCAAACAGATACTTAAAAAAGTTCTCAATATTGAGTCCCTTCCGGTGAAAAATGTTGAACTCATGCAAACTATCCACAGCAGCCTGGGCATCTTCCAATGTAGCATTTTCTTCTTTCTGGACCTCGACAAGAAATCGCTGAAGCTGATCCAAACCCATAACACCATTCTCCGAATATTCATTGAAAAGGGCTTTGATGTCCTCCGGCGCCTCCGCCGCTGCCAACCGGAACCTGCGTCGGAAGCAGAAGCAGACTTTGTAAGTCTGTTTCGACATCTTGAACTGAAATTGAAATAGGGATCGGTAAACGGAGAGGAGCTGGTATATAATAGCTGGAATTAATGAATTATAGCTTTTTTTAATTCTTAATGCATCGATTTGACTGATTGCTTGCTAGTGGAAGTGTGGAACCGTCATGCCAATTTTTTTTGGAAAAGTCTAATGTACATAATTTGGCCACATAATGGTGTCCATAATATCATGTGGACAAGATCTGACTGTTGATGTGAAAGTGTGAGATTTGAATTAAATGTTGGATCCAGTACCACGTGTAATTATGGACACCATTATGTACAAAATTATAGAGATTTGAATTAAAGGTTGGATCCAGAGACACGTGTAATTATGGACACCATTATGTACAAAATTATGTACATGTAGCACTTCCCATTTTTTTTTACAGAATATATATTTGTTAATTGTGGAGTAAATGGTGGAGATTACTATGGTTGAGCCAGCTAAGATGCCTAAGAATATATTTATAGATACGTTTCTAGATTTGTTCGAATTTTCCTCAGTTCGATTGGAAAGAGGTTTTTTAAAATTATTTTTAAGAAATATGCTACTTGTACATAATGTCGTGTTCATAACGGTGTCCACCTCTCACGTGAGACTGACTTTGAATATATTATAGCCAACCGGAACCTGCGTCGGAAGCAGAAGCAGACTTTGTAAGTCTGTTTCGACATCTTGAACTGAAATTGAAATAGGGATCGGTAAACGGAGAGGAGCTGGTATATAAAAGCTGGAAGCCTGGAATTAATGAATTATAGCTTTTTTTAATTCTTAATGCATCGATTTGACTGATTGCTTGCTAGTGGAAGTGTGGAACCGTCATGCCAATTTTTTTTTACAGAATATATATTTGTTAATTGTGGAGTAAATGGTGGAGATTACTATGGTTGAGCCAGCTAAGATGCCTAAGAATATATTTATAGATACTTTTCTAGATTTGTTCGAATTTTCCTCAGTTCGATTGGAAAGAGGTTTTTTAAAATTATTTTTAAGAAATATACTACTTGTACATAATGTCGTGTTCATAACGGTGTCCACCTCTCACATGGAGTGAGACTGACTTTGAATATATTATATTTTATTCAAAGTGGGTCCCCTTCCATATAAAAGGGTGGGCACTGTTATGGATACCACATTATATACGTGTAGTATTACCCTATTTTTAATTACATGTTTTCTTATTAATATAATTTTGAATCCTTTAAAAAAATCACTTATCATAAATCTACATCAAATGAACTCAAGAGGAACATGTGTGCTATTTGTTACAAATTGCACGTCTAGTCATTTAGGAAGACTATAATAGGTGGCTCCTAAACTTCGGATGATTTGACTTACATTTTTGTCAAGGTTAAATAGACTTTGGGCCCGTTTGGTATCAATTTTCATTTTCTACGGTAAATCAATTCTCATTTTCAACCACACATTCTTCAATAAAATAATATTTTCCATCACATCAATACTTTTTTCTTCTTTTTCAACCACACATTTCCCATCATATCACTATTCAAAAATCAATTATTCCATCAATTCTCATTTTCAACCACATTCTTCAATAAAATAATATTTTCCATCACATCAATACTTTTTTCTTCTTTTTCAACCACACATTTCCCATCATATCACTATTCAAAAATCAATTATTCTCCCAAAAATCCCTACCAAACACACTCTTTATAACTTCCTGTTTGGTATGAATTAAAATTTAAATTAAAGTTAACCATTAATTTTAATCTTATATTTCATGTATTTCATAATTTTTCAATCCCACATTTTATCAATTTTATCAAAATTTACTTAAAATCTGATTTTAATACCATCAAAGAGACTAAATATGTGCAAAATCTAATGTAGCCTAAGAAAAATGTCGGCCAGTCCAAGCCCCTACCCGTTTCTCACTTGCTCTAGTGCTTTGTTGACTTTCTAAAAGAAGAACAAAACACTAGCCGCGCCAGTGGGGACCAATACAGTTTGATCTCAGTTGAGTTTTAGGCATAGTTATAAAACGTGGTCCGACCGAACGGTCGGCCCGAAAAACCGCGACCTAGACCCTTGATCGGGTCGGTAGATTAATTTAATCGAAATGCACTTCATTCAGTCAAAATCGGGCTTTGACCGAGTTGACAGGGGATTTACCCTGCTCGGTTGACCGGTTTGATTGGGTTTTAAAATTCTCTTACAAAATTTTAGGATCCAAGATAATTGAACATTGGACCTCTAAAGAAAATAATGGGTTCCTCACCACTTGAGATAGAGTATTTTAGTATCGATTATGTGAAAATAACTTATATCTATTTAATAAATAATTATAAATATTATAAAAAATTAAATTTTTATTCAACATTTTACTTTATTTTATAGAATTAAATAATTAGTGAAAAATAAATTAAAAATTTTAATTTTGCCTCTAAAACAAAATTTATACTTTATATTTTTTTGTAAGTTTTTATGCAATGACCCACCGGTTGAACTATCGGGTCACCGATTGAATCACTAATCCATTGACTCGCTGTATTGTCCAGGTCGAGTCTGATAACTATGGTTTTAGGACTCATTTGATATGATTTTTATTTTTGTTTTTACTTTTTATAGAAGATTTTTTTAGAGTAAGTTATTGTTTGAAAATTAATTTTTAAAAGTGTTTCCTATTTCGAAAGTATTTTTAAAGAAATTCACTATTGACCAGCTTTCTCTGAAATCCCTTCTAAAAAATTATTCAAACTGGTCTAAAAACAACTTTTAGATCTCAAAAGTCTGTTTTGATTTCTTAAAAGTCATGTCAAACGAGTCATTGGAATGCTCAATTTTGATTTAACCGCTCTACAATGAAAAAAAAATCTTAATTTTGACTTATTTATTTTTAAGTTAAATTAAATGAACCTTAATATTGAATTTGAGTAATTAAACTAATTTGTGTATAATATTTTCATAGATTCATTAATGATTTTGAGTTTGAAGCTCAAAAGAAAAAATTTGATCTTTAAATATTATTTTTAGGCTAACAAAATTTTGAAATGTTAACTAAGAATTGCAGCCCCACCAACTTAATTATGATATTGTCAGTCAAAATATATAATTTATACTTTAAAATCGTACACGTTAGAATAAAACGTGAAACATGTGTAGCTTCACCAATATTTCCTCTCA